AAAAAAAAAAAAAAAAAAAATGAAAAATAAAAAAGGGGAAGAAGAGAAACGAACGCGCAGAGGAGTCATCCGCTTAACTTTAATTCAGCTCTTTTCTTTGTATCCTTCTTTTTTACCCCATCTCCCTTCTAAACATTACCATTCCTGATTTCGTTGTTATATATATATATATATATATACGAGTACACGATAAAGTTAGTTTTAAGTAATTTTATTAAGATACAGTGTGTAACTTTTTCTATTAACACGTATATGGTCCAATTTCGTTCAATCATGTATTCAACTATTGAATGTAACCCAAATATGGATGATAAGACGACTAACGTGTTAAATGGGTTAATTTAAAATGATAAGATACGTGACTGTTATATAATAGGAAAAATATTATTAGAAGAAATATTTAAGACGTTTTCACGATCTTTGTCTATTTCGTCATTTATCTGTATAAAATGTAATTATATTTGAAAGATCCGTGTTAAGTTTTAATCCGATCTGGTTTTATACTTGCGCAAAGTTTACGAGCAAGTGGGGAAAGCTGCTTAACGATAATGCGATATCTTAAGAGGATGGGAAGGGCATTAACCGTTCTATGAGAGATCATATGGGACTGCTACTCTAAAATAGCAGATCGAAACTTGAAAGTAAAAGACTGGTCTGGGTCAATGGCCCTTTAACTGAAAGAGTCTACACATTTATGTATTTTTGTAAGTATATATATATATATATAAATGTGTATATGTGAACACGTTTATCAGTGAGAAAGAGAAGAAAAAAAAAGAGAGAAAAATAGATAGAAAGAAAGAGAGAGAGAGAGAGGAAGAGAGAGGAAGAGAGAGGAAATATGTAACGGAAGGTAAGCCTCACGTATTCTGACATAACTTACGAACCACTCCAGCGAGTGTTCGCTCCTGTTCTCTTAATTATCAAACTTTGTACCGCTCCTAATTTTCATCCTTACTCTACGGTCTATCGGATAACGAGGAACGACAACGTGTGTCCGCATAAATTTACTCTACGCAAAGGGATCACCTGTGTCCTCTCTCTCTCTCTCTCTCTCTCTTCCTCTATCTTTCTGCTTGTAGTAATCGTAGACTTGATTCCACTCACGAATTTCTCTTCTCGTCATTCGTTAATACCTTTTTCTTATTGACTTAACTGGTTACATCCATTCTGACAAAAATCAATCCACAAACATAGCATAAGTTTATTTAGAGAAAAATAATTCTAATTAATGACATTTATTTAGCTCAATATAGATTTCATCTTGTGCAATATAAACACACTCGCACTCTGTTGATTTGATTTAAAATAATTTGTCTTTAGAATTCTTTTGTCATCTCTCAAACGTGACGTTTCCCTTAAAATTATGAATATTCAGGGAGAATGAAAAATCTATTTTTGATAAAAAGTATTCTCATTAAAGTTTATTCAAACAAAATTCAATTCTAATTAGCCGAGAATAAATGAGGAAAATAATAGTAGAGCGAAAAGTTAATTTAACAATCGCGTTGTTGGATATTTTTATAATCCGCATCGTTTGTCTGATATGTTTTTTTTTTTTTTTTTTAATATACGTCTATGTGTATTTGTGTATGTATGTACTATGTATTTACATAGTCAAAATATAATTTGATTATTGAAAAAATTAAACCATACTTTTAGAAATCGTTTAATTCGTGAAATCAGAATAGCAAGAAAGAAAGAAAGAAAAAAAAAGACAAAAATAAAAGCAGGCTAAACAAAGTAATTTACATTTTTATCAGAGCTTCACAAATTCGTCGATATGTAGACCTTTTGTGGTTCTGTGATTACGTAATTCCCTTTTCAAGGAAATCCTTTTACCTGTTACTTCTAGTATGCTGATTTTGAACGGACTGTGGAAAGTGTGAAGGTAGGGTAACTGTATATATTATCCTCTTAAACACACACACACACACAGACATGAATAGACACACATATATATGATTACATCGTAGGGAGAAGCATTCTAAGCGCTAGGGCCTGTTGCCACTTGTCCTTGCAAGGACATTGTCGAGAAACTGTATATAACTAGCAGGAACAAGCTGATGTAATGTACAAACAGAAGAGGAAGAAGGGATACCAAGAGGAAAATGGAAATTGCCATAGTGAATGTAAGCATGGACCTTGCCGTTAGACGTACGTACGTTAGCCCAACCTTGAAGAGTAATACTTTTAATTATGTTCCGAAGCTACTATTGCTAAAAGATCGTACGCTTGTTATGTTGAAATCCCTTTAAGGAAACAATGTCGGTTCAACGAATTGCTTCAAAATTACACTCTACTGATTTATCTGACAATTTCATCTTAATTTAATACATTTCTCTTTTGATTTTATTGTTAAAACAATTTTGTTTATTTTAATTTATATATGATTAATCTTTTGTCGACGCATATATGGGTCGGGCCGTATACGTACGGCATGGACGACTCATATATTATAGCTCGTTAATAACGAAATACTTGTATAAATATATTATTATAATAATTTACCAAATGTCTACGGACAAATTGTAAAAACTTTAAGAAGTTAAATTAAAAAAATAAACAACAAAAAAAGAAATAAATTTAAGGTTAAATAAAATATTTATTCTAAATATAAAATATCTTAGCAACTAATTCATTGTCTTTCCAATTTTGTTGCATCTCTTTGAAATCATAATATTTCATAAATTATGTAATATTATCTATTTATTTGATAAATCTCAAAGACTAAGTTTGTCGGATGCACTTTTCAAGTTAATTGAAAAAAGAAAAGAATGATGTAAACGTTCAAACGATTTACTTAATTCTCAAGTATTTTCCTTAAACAGTTAACACACGACAAAAGCAGTGCATGATGCTTCTTCTCTCTCTTTTACTCTATCATGTTGTTTCTTACTAACAATAATAATAGAATAAATCAAATTCTTCAACTCAAACGCACACACGTTCACGCGATAAAGATAACAAAAGATAAGAGAAAAAAGGAAAGGAAAAGAAAAGAAAAAGGTAAGAAGAGATTCAACAGAAGTTTTGACTTTTCCTTTAGAGTTTTGAGATCGTTTTAAGCTACTTTCAGTGAACTTTCGTAAAGATCTTTCTTCCACTCTCTTTGTTAAGAAATTCTCGTTTTTCAAAGTTTCCCTACCGATACACTACTACATTCCGTGGTCATACACTTGATCTCATTTTCAAGAAGATCGAATAGATGCATCCTACAGTAAGAAATCATTAATTCTGATTGATAAAGTAATAAATTGAGTATCTTCGAAATGGGGTATCTGAAAACTCGGTTTGTTTAAGAAATCCTACTTCGGAAAATATGGGTATTTGATGATTATTGAAAAAAAAAAAAATGAAATAAAATAAAATAAAATAAAAAAACAGAATATAAAAATATTGTCAAGAAAAATGAAATTATCGATCGAGTTGATACACCGAAGCACAAAAGTTAGAATGAAAACCGTCTTGTTATTATATTTCGCAAAGAAAAGCTTTCCATTGTTGATCCATTAAATATTATTATCGACTAAACGATTAAACGTTACCTTTCTTTATCTTCATCTTTTTCCATCTATTTTCTACTACGAATTTTACCTCTCTCTCTCTCTCTCTCTCTCTCTCGTATTTTTTTAAACACAATTGTTGCTTTTGCTGTCTGTATTGACTACTTGAACATAAACATGACTCTCTGGTTAAACTTAATAGGTTACGGAAGAGGAAATGCGACTTAGTCGATGAATTACAGTAATTCCTTGATATCTATCCATGTCAATGTATGTGCATTTGTACGTGTATATGTGTATGTATGTATGTATGTATGTATGTATGTGTGCAGAAATACATACAATTCACCTAAGGATTATACGTATCTTCGAGAAGTAATACAGAATGGAAAGAGAAGAGGAAGAAGAAGAAGAAGAAGAAGAGAAATAATAAGAGAAAGAAGGAGGAGGAGGATGAGGATAAAGTGGGAGATGGTTGGAGGGTGGAATTCTTGGATCGTTAAGCCCAAGAGAGTTCAGAGATGCGAAGCAGAGAAGAGTAAGTAGGAGAAAGAGGATTGATATAGGTTGCAAGTTCGCAACCGTGGATTTGAGAACATTATCTACCCACTTGAAGGAAGTAATTTACGATGGTAGTGTTCAAACGTGGAAAATATATTTCTTCGGTTGTGGTAAGATTGCGAAAAAAAAAACGACCGGTTAAATGTTCGACCAGGCTTCGATTTTGATATTACTCTAAAAGATTTGTTCAAAAAAAAAAAAAGGAGAAAAAAAAAAAACAAATATCCTTGTAAAAGATTTTACCATAAATTTGATCTTTGTATCCGTTTCTTGTATTACAAAGTCAAATATACTGCTA